TTTATAGAGATAAGAAAGGGGTAGGGTAAGCAGGGCATTCTTTCACACTCAGCTGGCTTAGCCATTTATCATAACACATTTGTCAGAAGCATTAAAATACATTCGAAAAGTCAATGAGCTTTGACAGTTCCTAGCCCAAAGGGCAGGCATAAGTATAAATCTCTCCCCATAAGTGTCGCTTTCCACAGCGGCTTTTAATGAACACAAAATATATCATTATAATAGAACCAATCTTAAGTCTTCTGCTATCCTAATTCATCGCTCCATTAGAGTTAATTGAGCGAAACACAACTTGCACTTTCCACGGCACTTTTGATTGCTTTGGATTCACTTTCCTTGGGAAATTAGTTAATTATGACAGAGTTTTTCCTGTCGGGTTAATAAATCAACCAATTGACACACAGATGACAGAAGCGAAGAAAAAACTTAACTAAAGTATAGGAAAAAAAACGTATGGCATAGCGCGGCAATGCGGCAAAAGAAATGGTAAAAAAAAGACACAAAGAAAGGAAAAAGAAAGTGCAATGCTGATCACATATCATTATAAATGGTATGGCATGGGCTATGGTATAGCATGAGGTTTATGTGTGAGTGGAGATCTTCTGGGACAGCCTTAAGAGAGGGAGAGGCTTGGGCAAAGAGAGGAGAGCAGCGTTAGACACTTTTCCTTTCAGCTTGCACGCGACAGTCGGCAGTCGCCGAACAATGCCTTGGGTTCGGGTTTGGATTCGGCTTCCACTTTAAAGCAACATTTCGAGCATTTGCTGTGAATGATTTGTGCAAACATCAATTATCGGCTTAATTATTAGCAAAATTATTAGCTGCTAGTGGAGTCGCTAATTGTTGGTTGTGAATAATTAATTGAGGCATAAAATTGAATCGAAAGTAATCGATCGCAGCGGCAGATCTTTGTCCAAATTTTACCCAAAAAGAAAACCAGTTCAAGGTGGATGCCAGGCTACCTGCTGTGGAAAACCCAAACAAAAGGAAGAGCCATTCAGCTACCTGTTGTTGCTGCCTTTTGCCACAGCTGTACCCACTTTTGTTACATGGATCTCTGGCCTTGAACATAATTGTATTAACATATGAAAATTGATCACACCATCATAGAGTGGTTCGACATTCGACATTGGACATTCGACCGGTTTTGGATTTCGGATTTCGGATTTCGGCAAAATTTCACTTGAACTTTCATTAACTGGGCTGCAACCAAGACTCCGCCACTGCGGCGATTATGTTAGCGGAGACCCAAAGTCAGGTCCAATCGGGTAAACCGGATCACTCCAGACCGGGTGTTTGTTGGTGTATTTTTATGTAATCGGTTTTAGTTGGAGTTTGGAGTGCCCAAAAAGCAGCCTCCACATATGACTGTATGCATATCCATTTCTGTCTTGCCTATTGACCAATCTTTGTATATTTTCCTTGAACAATTTCCACTGAATTTTATTCGGGCATCGTTTCTATTTTGGTTCCAGTTTCCACACCACACCATAGCACACCACATCACAGCTGCTGGGTTTGTTTCTCCCCAGGTGTAATTGTAACCGTAGCCAGCCCCCACCCCCCTCAGCAGCAATTTGTCTCTCTCCGCGTGTGTGTTGGCTTAATTTACCTGTCAAAAGTTTTCAGTTTCTTTGGGGTTTTTTTGCCAATGAAAGAGTTGTGTCAAAGTTGGACTTGGAACGGCCCAAAGTGGCAGATTATTTGTTGCAGTTGCAAATTGCAATGCCAGGTAGCGACAACCCGAAACAAAAACACATTCGTTAAGTTTTGTTTTTATTGCCAGTGCACAGAAATGCCATTAAATCGCACCAGTTTAAATTCTAAACCTAAATTAGCCTCGAAATTATTATTTATATTGAGTTGAATTTTTCGTAGTTCTTTTTTTTTGGAACAATTGTTTCCGCTTGTCACTTGAAGGAATTGTTTTGGTTTTGGTTTTGGTTTCGCCAAAGTTTTGTCTAATGCGAAGAATTACTGGCATCACTTTGAGGCTATTAGAGGGCTTCGTAATTTGTGCACCGCAAGAAATTGAAGATGAATTATTAGAATTATTTGATTATGTTTCAAGGAACGTCGTCATCTAACTTTGCTCAGTGTCTCTGCGTTGCCTACAACGCATTTTCTCAACATTTCTCCACATAGCGCTACGCAATTGACATAAATTTCCAACCCCCTGGCAGTGTCGGTCCACCCCTGTCTTTCACATCTCATCTTAAAGGAAGCTTCGAGATGGCGAAACTATCTTCACTAGCACTTACCTTTGCGCTTGTGATATTTCTCGCTCTAATCGTTTCGTTTCGTATCCAAGATTTGCTTTTTTTACCGAGTGTATTTAATATATTTGTATTTAATATTTATTTGCTTTTGCAGCAGTTGTCAGCCCTTTATCTTAGTAATCTGGAAGCAATTGCACACTTTTCACACACTTTGCACTGATGTGGCCCATCGTACGTTTCACTTTGTTGGCTGGGGGGGGGACACAGATTTTCTTTGTGGGGGAGCAGGGTAGAGGGGAACTCGGCACGGAGCGAGCACGGAACGGCGACCGCTGGCTATGAGACCGTCTCACGGACTGACTGCGCTGCTCTGTCTCTGTCTCTGCCTCTGGCTCTGCCTCTGTCTCCGCGCACAGCAGATCAGCGGCCTTACGTTTAACGGTGGGGTACGTGGGGCGCTTACGTTTGGGGCTGCACAATTTCAATTTCAGTGACCGTTGGGTTGGCGCGTTGTTTGCGTCTTTTGTCCCCTAGTTGATTGCCTTTGATTGGGAGGGGAGAAGCTGCTAGCAGCTACTCTCTGTGTCGTGTCTATTGTAGCCACTGATTCGACGCTGCTCTCAATAGTGGGCGCCTCGGACTGCCTGCCTGCCTGCCTTCCACCGGGAACGACAGCAAAAGAAATTAAAGAAAGAAAGTTGCGCGCACACAACCGACACGCACCACGTATCGGAATGGAATGAAGAGTCGCCAGTCGGCCTTTACGTGAACAGTTACAGTACGCGGCCCCGCTCTGCAGTTCTCTCTCTCTCTCTCTCTCTCGCTCCAGCTACCTCCACGTGATATGCACTCAGCGCGCTCACTGCGCTCTTTGCTCGTTCTCTCCCTCACCTGTTGCTCGGCACTGCACCGCGTCTTTGCTTTTTTTGGGAAAAATCTTTCTCGCCTTTCCTGCCCATACCTGTTTCCACGTACACGTACAGGTGTGCCAGCCAGCCTCAGCTGTTGCTGGCCACAGTCTGAAGGTCGCATTTTCGCTCATTAATCGCCACTTTCTTCTGCGCCTGCGCGGCGCAAGGTTTTTATGGGATTTACCAACGCCGCTTCGGCGGGAGTTCATTTGAATTTCGGCGAGGGGTTTTTATGACCAACAGAGAGTGTGGATTTCGCTGGAAGCAACTGCACAAGTGTTTGAGTTTATTTTATGGATCGGTTTGGAATGTTTGCTTAGGCTTTACAATCCATATATTCGAAGCACTCCAAGATGTGCAGAGAGGGGAGTTTCCTGGTGATAAATTATATACGGATAAAGCCTCTTTAGGTTTACTCTGACGTGCACTAAATGCATAAGAATGGCAGCATAATTTTAGTTTTAGTCCAACGAATACAAAACAGCACTTAAAAATCCCTCCCATCGACCTCCACGCTCTGCTCATATGAGGACTCATTATAGTAGAAATTCTTCCCACGCTTTTACCCAAAGAAGCACAGAGTGCCCCAGGGCACTCGAGAAGAAATGTCAGTGTCGTGCGTCATTCTGCAAAAGAAATTCGAGGAAAAACTATGCGCCATAAATATAATTTGCCAAATAAAGGCGAATAAATCAGTTTCCCTCCCAAAGAGTTTCTAAATTCTGAGAGAGAGAGAGAGAGAGAGAGAGTGAGAATCAAAAAAGAGATCCACAGATATATTGCGGCTGAGAAATTTAAGCGGAAATTTTAATCAAAATCATTTACAATTTATTTCAAACAGAGAAAAGCGCACACCAACAACAACACAACTCTGGCGTTGAATGTGCCATAAAAATATGTACATATTTACATATATGTATGTATGTATACATAAGTACGTACATATTTGCATACTATAAGAACAAACTATTGGAAGTATCACGGTCCAGTTCTCTATATAGAGCTCGCGCGAGAGAGAGAGAGAGAGAGAGAGTAATGTCAGCCGAGCACGTTCAACTCGGCTGAGGATCATCGGGTAATCGGGTAATTGAGTAGGTGTAGCAGGGAGGCAACATGCAACATGGCAACGCCAGGGGCAGTCAAATGTTGAATTCAATTCTGGGCAATCAAGCCGTGTGCTGGCTGTACATACAGCTACATATCAGTGTACATATCTCTGAGCTTCCAGCATTAACACTGTCCAAGGCGGCGTCGGCATTAACAAGATTTTGTGCTGCCTTTTGATTGGGGGGGCGGTCTGAATGCGCGCCAAGACAGCGTTCATACACTGATCAAAATGTAAGATGAACAATGCAAAAGCTGGCGGCAGGGCACATGGCACAGATCACAGAAATTGCCTGGGCAGGGGAGGAGGCTGGAGGTCCAACAAGTTCAGATTAATGCCACAGAAAGAGTAATTAAAGTTTTACTTCATCATTGCCAGCTCCTTCCAGCTGGTATGGGTTACTCCATGTTAGCTTTTCAAATCCCAACAGCTTTCTCGCAGTGTCTTTGCGACTGCTAATTCAATTTATTTAAATGCTCATTTGTTGGCGCGTCTTAGAAAAGCGACCAGCGACCATTAATTGCGCATATTTTATTACGATTACGAACTTTTCAGCTCTATGATTGCGGTTCAAGTTCAAAATGCTATTAATAGCGGGAAAGTTTCCACTTCCCATTTGAAATTCCAACGGACACACTTCTTTTTTTGCATTATCGTTCCCCTTGCTGCAGTTCCCAGCGAACAGTGTTGCAAAAGCTTGGCCAAAAACTGCTTTTAAGCGCAGCCAACTTCACGCACAAACCTCTTTTTGACAGGAGGCGCCAGCGTGGCAGTTTCTTACAATTCATTTGTAATCTCACAGATATAAAGTCATCCGCCGCTGTAATGTCGCTTTCGAACTACAGTCTGCAGTCCAAGGTGCTGCTGCATCCACTCGTGATGTTCCAGATCGTCGATGCCTACGAGCGTCGCCCCATGGACAACACACAGGTACAGGTTCAGGTTCAGGCACAGGTTCAGGCACAGGTTCAGGGACAGGTAACTTATTCGCTTTACCATTCGTTTCGCTCAGGTGATGGGAACTTTGCTGGGCACCGTCGCTGGCAATACGGGCCGCATAGACATCACCTCGTGCTACAGCGTGGTGCATCGCCAGCACGACGACGACAGCAGCCACATTGATCTGGATCTGAGGTACGACAGCGACATGTGTCAGCTAACGCAGTTCTCCTATCCGCAGGAGAAGGTGCTGGGCTGGTTCAGCACCGGCAGCCACGTCTCCGAGGCCGCCGTGGAGCTGCACGAATTCTACGCCCGGCGGTGCCAAAACGGACAGCCGCTGCATCTGCTGATGGACACATCGCTGCGCGGCAAACTCATGAATCCGCGCCTCTTCTGTGCCGTGCAAACGGGCGTGCCCGGTGGCACCAAGGGCCTGATGTTCACGCTGCTGCCCATGGAGATCTACTTTGGCTCCGCGGAGACTGCGGCCCTGCGTCACATGAACAAGCAGTGCCTCAGCCAGGCCAAAGACGCGGGCCCCACTGTGCCCCAATTCAAGCAGGTTGTGGAGTCGACTAAGGAGCTGCAGCTGCGCCTCGATCTGATACTAAGCTACATCAACGATGTCCTCAATTACAAGAAACTCCCCGACAACTCCGTGAGCCGTGCCCTGCATGATGCCTTGTCCGCCATACCGCCGGTGGAGTCGGAGCGTTTTCGTCACATGTTTAATAACAATGTGCGTGATCTACTGATGTCCATGACGCTCTCCTCGCTGGTCAAGAACCAGTTGGAGCTCAGCGAGCAGCTGTCCAATATGTCGGATGCTTAGACTCAAACACTGGCGATTTTCCAAACACAATTAATCAATAAAGCGACGCCTTTTCGTGTGGGAGGGCTATCCCGACACGTAGGCCGCGCTCTGTGCAGCAGTCAATGATAAGCCTTATCAGTTGTTTGCTTGGGCATAATGTGCCGCCTATCTATGTGTGTGTGTGTGTGTGTCTTATCAGCGGCTAAAGCTTACTTTCTGGCAGGCGTGAGGCTAAGAATGGAAAGTTTTGTTTGTACCCTTTGCATGTTATTGGTAGGCAAACTTCGATCTGTTTGGAGCACTTTTGGAGGGATTTTGATGCAAGAACTTGCCCAAGTTTTAGATGATTTTATCAGTGTTCCATAAGCCTGTCCATGTGCCACATTATTGCTTCCATTCAATGAACTCTCCAATGCCAAATACTCCTTTTTTCCATGGAAAAACACTCCAAAACGTACATCAAACAGATGGCAGAAACGCTCTCTGTGTAGAATCCCCAAGCATTAGGTACATGTTAACCTTTGATACCCCCACACAGACAATGAGATCATCCGAAATGGAAAGCCTGCACTTAATCTCAAAGCAAACCCTTTTATTTATGGGAACTTTCACACCATTTTCACATCAAACGAAGCCCAGAGCTACGCATTTGGAAGTTCCTTGAGTGGCCAAACATTTCTCTTGCTCCTTGGGCACTTTTTGCATGATGAAAGTCCGAAGTGAATACAACAACTGAAAAGATGGGGAAGCCGCTTGAGCCGCAGATCTCGGCAGGGCTGAGCGATAAGAGCAATCAGTCTGTTTGGGGATTGGACTGGGATGCTGGATGGAGAGGGAAAAGGCAGCGGGACGGTAGCTGTGGACCACCCAAATATAAAGCTGAGATAATGATGGATCGATGGTGGCAATTGCTTATCGCAGTTCAGGGACAGGCACATGCACGGTCCATGGGTATTCAATTAGTAAGCCACAAGACTGCAAAATTAGCGAATTTCCATAGTGCCGCAGTCTACTGCTCCTCCTCCTCCTTCCCGCTGCTTGTCTATATCTCCGCGCTGGCCCCGACCCTCCGGCATGTGCCCCATCCACAGCCATGGCGACGCCGCTGCCGCCTTATCGCTTAAGCCAAGGGCTATCGGTGCGCCTGCCCTGATAGGGATCACCGGGAACGGACCTGGGCTTGGGCCTGATCTGCACTTCCGAACACTCAGACGTCCCGCAACCGGCGAGCCGAGCAGACGCGCTCCAAGTATTATGTTCTCGCTGCTGAAGCAACCACTGATCTGCCGCTGCTGCCTGCTGGAGCAGCCGCCGCTCTACCGCCACATCCACGACGGGCAGCTCCACGCAGAGCTGCAGGCGCTGGCGCCCACTCTGCGGCTGGAAGCCGGCGATGGCCTCACCGATGTCATCTGTGATCTGTGTCTGCGTCGGCTGCACGATGCCCGCAACTTTCAGCGCGAATGCGAGCACTCGGAGCTGGTGCTGCGCACGCGCCACGAGCAGTGGCAGCACACGGTGGCCGCTGGCGATGCGCTCGCCCTGGACGATGTGCTCGAGTGTCTGGAGCGTGAGGTGGGCAGCCTCGAGGAGACAATGCTGCCGGTGCAGCAGGGCAAGCCGGTGGCACATGTGGCGCCCATGATGGAAACTGTGGATTTTGGTGAGTGTTTGACGGCTTCAACTGATTGTTGTGATTGTTGTGATTGTTGTGTGTTCCTGCAGATACCCTGGACTTGCAGGATAGCCTGGCGAGTGCTTACGAGGCGCCTTTGCTCTGGGTTGCCGATGCTGGGCCGCTGAACACGCCGCTGCATCAGCCAGACACGGACAGCGGCGTTGCGCTGCTGCAACTGGAAACTCCCTCAGCAAACGAGCAACTCGAGCTGCTGTCCATGACGCCACCGCTCAGCGAACCAGAGGCAGAGTTGCCCAAGCCCAAGCCCAATCCCAAGCCCAAACCCAAAGCCATGCCCCGGCGTAAGCCACCGAAATCCGATCCAACTGCCGTGCACTCCCCTGGCTCGCCGCGTTCCCTGCATCCCTGCACCGAGTGCGAAAAGAAGTTCACGCGAAATTTCCAGCTGAAACTCCACATGATTGCGGTGCACGGCATGGGGGAGCTGCTCTACCAGTGCGATGAGTGCCACAAGAGCTTCGCGAGTCGCCACAGTCTGCGGTACCATGTGAAGTCGGTGCACTCCACGGAGCGGCCCTTCAGCTGCGATCACTGCGACAAATCCTTTGTGCTGCGCACCCAACTCAGCTCCCACCTGCGCACCCACACGGGTGAGTCGAAGCCACGGATCTTCGCGTGCTCCAAGTGCACCAAGACGTGGCCCACCAAGTCGGATCTGCGGACACACATGCGCTCCCATGATCCGCACATGGAGCGACCCTTCAAGTGCGATCGCTGCGACAAATCGTTCTTCACGCGCGGCCATCTCAGCTCCCACATCCTGGTGCATACGGGGGAGAAGCCTTATGGCTGCGACTACTGCGACAAGTGCTATCAGAGTGTGGGCAATCTCAACAATCATATGGTGCGCCAGCATGCGGACATCATCGAGGCACAGCTGGAGATGGAGGCCATTGAGAGTTGAGAGTTGTGGCGCGGTCGGGGCAGTTTTTTGGGGGGTTCCGGGTCCAGGGCCTGGCCTGGCCTGGCCTGGCCTGGCCTGGATCAAGTATTACGCGCGGTTTAGACATTGCACAATCTCTGAGATTTGGCAAACATTGTTGCCCCCGTCCCATCCCATGGCTTATCGCCGCGGTCGCCGCCGCTCGTTTCAATGTCGCAAGAGCCGCAAACATTTTTTTGTTATTTTTTTTTTTTTTGGTCGGTTTCGCGTGTGTGGATTTTGGCTGAATGATTACCAAACGACACACTGGCACCGGGACTGAGACAGGGGCTTGCTTGGGGTACGAGGTGAAAGCGCCAGAAAAATCATAAAAAAAAACAAAAACAAAATCAAAAACCCCAAAAAAAAAACAAAATAAATTGAAATAGAAATCGGTGCAAAAAAAAACTGGTAGAGGAGAATCCAAAACAAAAAGCTAATAATAAATAGAGCGCTTAGAAATGATAGCATTAAGTTTAATAATAGTATGTAAAGAGTAGAATAAAATGATCAACTCGAGATAAATAATAGAGCAATAAATACAGCAAACAAAAATGATACAAAATCGAAGCAATAAACAAACAAAAAGTACGACAAAAACAGGTAGAAATCTCACGGAAAAGGAAAGAGCAAAGAGAGTCAAAAAACCTTGCCACTATCTCGTTTATTTCTCTACATTTTTCTCAAATATTTAATAAAGGATTCAACATTCCAAGCTAATGCCACAGGGTCTTATGAAACCCATCCATCTAGGGCTCTTATCAACGTTTCTCCCTCTGTTCATGTGTCTGAGTCGACAACCAATAAATACAACAATCAAATATGTACACAAATCATTAAAAAGTAAGACAGCGGCGAGAGCGATAGAGATAGAGCCAAAGGGTCGAATCGATTCAGTGCTGGATTGTAAGTATTAGAAATGAAAATTAGATGAAAAAAAAGCGCAAGTAAAAATGTTTCAACGAGCATTTCCAGCCTTTGCTGTGCAAATTGGCAACAGAAAAGGGTTGGAAGTCTTTCTGTGTGCTTTAGAGTCACCAATGGTGTGGCTACTGCTTTGATCACTGTTCTGATTCTGATCTCGGGTATCACTTCATTACAAAACGCCACACAGACAGAGCCTTCCCTCTTTTCAATCCCCTTCCCAGCTCGGCGAAGACTTGCCCACCCAGCTTCAATGTGGCTTCAATTACGAAACGCTCACAATTATGCACTTGAGTGTTGCTGGACCACGCAAAAAACAAAAAAGGGTACTTAAAGTGTTAATCTAATTAAGTTTGATAAAAGCAAAACAACAAAAGAGTCGTGGAAGTGACCGCATGGAATGGAATGGGAGGATGGCCTAGGTCGGAGATTTGTGGAATGTAAAATTACTCACAGTCCAGCGTTGATGATAACCTTCGGCTCTCCTGCCTTTGTGGGTTGGTTGGCATTTCCTTAATGCGTTTACTCACACCTCGTGGAGTGTGTGTGTGTGTGTATGTGTGTGTGTGTGTGTGTGTGTGTGTGTGCTGAGCCCCCTGTCGAAAACGTGCGCCAGTCCGAGACAGTGACCCAATCAAGGCTTTTTGTCTTTTTCTTTGTGTTCTGGGGATCATCTGTGGATCTGTCTGCGCACGTTCTCTCTGTCTCCCTGTTGTGTAGTTTGCTGGGTGGGGTTTACACTCTCGTTTAAAGAGTACTTACACTTCTACATAAATAATGAGAACCCAAAAGATCTGACTCGTCTCCCGTACCTTTTCTTTTGTTATCATTCAGCCTACAGGGATTGATGTACGATTCGCGCATTGTTTGCCGAGTTCTTTGTACTTATAAATCTGCTGAATTGATGCTTCCAAAAATGTTATGCTCGGGTCAATGAAAGACAGACACTGATATGAAACGATGCCAGAATAAGATGCCGGGTGGCTACTTATGCAGATAAATGTGGCAGAGATTAAGGAGAGTGTCTGTGAACCGATTCTGCTGCTTATTTCGCGAGTCTGTGGTTCTACTGGCAAGCCAAAAACTGCGCTTAATCTTAGCCCAAACTTCTGCTTGCCCTCTACCCTTGCTCAACTTTAGATACAATTTATTTACACAAAAATCAACAACAATGCCCCCCACTAAACCTCAACGCTCGAAGAGGAAACGCCCCAATTGCACCTGCCGCTGGGCATAAGAGTTGAGCGCCTGCTGATCCGGCGCCACAGCTGCTGCAGCGCCACCCTCAGGCGTTACCGACGAACGCACCAGCTCCCTGAGGCTCGCCGAGATCTTGGCCGTGCGAAAACGCGCCTCCTGCCGACGCTGACGACCCTCCACAAAGCGCTGGGATTGGCTGCGCTTGCGCTGAATGTCCTCCTTGAGCTGCTGCTGCTTCAGCCGCTCCAGATGCTGCCGCTCGCGCCAGTGCTCCTCGTGCTGTGCCTGCTCCACGTAGTTGTCGTGCTGCAAACGCCGCAGATACGCCTCCAGCAGCTGGCCGCGCAGCTCATCGGCACGACGCAGGCGCTGGCTGAGCCGCATGCAAATGTCGCGCTTGCGGAGAGTGGAGTCCAGGTACTGCTCCTCCTGGTGCACGGTGACGGCCTCGCTGCGACGCAGCTCCTCGCAGCGCCGCTGGCAGAGCGTCATATCCCGCTCCAGTCGCATGGAGGCGAGGCGCTGCTTGGCCGCCGCATCCTTGGCATCCAGAGCGCCGCGCAGGCGCCGCAGCTCCGCCAGATCCCGCTCGGCCAACGCCTGCAGGCGGGCCTTGGTCATGAGGTAGTCCTGAAACTGTTTGTCATGCACCGCCCGCTTGTACTCCTCCACCTGCTCGACCTTGAGCAGCTGCCGCTCCAGTCGCTCGTTCTCCCAGTACTTGCGCGCCAGCCAGGCATGCTCCTTGTCCGCCGCCTGCTGGCTTCGCTTCACGGCCATGCGATTGAGTATCTTCTGGTCGTGGTCCGGTATCTGCTGGTAGGCTGCACGCACGGTCGGCGCCAGGCACAGGCTGGCCATGGAGGCGCACAGGGACTTGCCATCGCTGCGTTTGCGCTGCGCCTGTGCCTGGGCGAGCGGCACCAGCGCCATGTTCTCCTGCGACTTGGACTTGCCTCTGCCCTGGACGGAGAGAGCAGGAGCATCGCAGAGAGGTGCAAGAAAGTGCTTGGGTGGGGGAAGGATAAATTATGCCTAAGGTACTCCCGAGCGTCATACCCCTCGACTTACCTGCAGCATCTTGCAGTCCCTTTGTGCACCGCGTCGCTGTCGCGGCTGTGGCTTTGCCTCCACCTGTTCCTGTCTGGAGTCACTCCTCTGACTGCCGGCGCTCTTGGACCTTCGACTCCTGCCTGAAGTCGAGGCACGCGGCTGGCACTCTGCGGAGCCGCGTCTGCTCTGAGACTTCACCTCAGTGGGAGATCTGGAAGCACTTCGTTGCCGCTGACTGCTGTGACTCCTTCTGCCTGCGGATGTTGCATTCGTTCGCGTTCGGGCACTCTCCCTGCGCTGCAAGTGCTCCAGAGCCTGTATGTCCTGATCCAACTGCTGCAGCTCCTCGTTATGCGCCTTCTGCTGTCCACTCGCACTGCCGCTGCTGCTGTGTGCGCTGTAGCAATCGCAGTGGCAAATGTCACAGCAGCTGTCGGCCAACTCCAGTTCCTGCAGCAGCTGCAGATGCTCTGCCTGCAGCTTGGCTTTGCTCTTGGCCCGAGACTCGCTGCGTCCGCGACGCTTACGCTTTGGGGTCATTCTTCCACTGGCGCTGCTGCTCCTTCTGCTGCTCCTTCTAGCGGCCCATGGGTTAGTTTACTGCCCTCAGTCCTCGCCCAATGAGGCCACACTCTAAACAGGGAATTTATTTCGATGCTAAAACGTAATCAACCCAAATTCCTGTGCCATTCGCTCTGCGTCGACATTTCCGACTTGCTTGTTGACTTTTTTATCGATTGGAGCAAAAGCCACAGTTGCCAGGGACAACGATAGCCCACCCCTAAACACAGGACAGGCACCGCCCCAGCCCCCCTTCTGACAGTTTTAGAGGTTCTTTGGGGTGATATTTCTGTCTAGTTTTTGGCCTCCAACAGAATGCGGAAATTACCAACGTCAATTAGCTAATGCGAAAAGTGAAAGGTCTGCGGAAAGGAGTGTAGAAAACAAGGACAAAGGCAGAGGCAGAAGTTGTGGGCCGAAAGTTCACTCAGTTTTAAGGTTCTTTGCATATATTTTTGTTTAAACTTTAAATTCGGCTAGAACTAGGATTTAATTTATAAACAAATTATTATTCATTAGTTAACATTGCAGGCAAATAAATTAGAGATAGAAAAACATAATTTAAACAACAGCAAAAGGATTAAAAAGGGAGAGAAGTTATCCAAAAAAAATAATTTACATTTTAAACTCCACTTTCTAAAGCGCATTTAGAACCGGATAAAGATTATTACAGAAGTTAAATAGATAACATTAAATAGTTTGACATTTTTATATACAACAGCTTGGAACATTTTGTTTGCTAGCTAATAATTTACACACACACATAGACACCGACACCGACACCGACACCGATCTTCAATTAATTACACGAAAAATTGTAATACTGACCAAAAGAAATACGAAAATTAAGCAAAAAACTAAGCAAAAATTAAGAAAAAACTATTCAATAACACAAATATGAATAACAATTACTGCCAGACTGTGTTTGTTTTGTGGGGGGGGGGGGGGGGGGGGGGGGGGCTTATATAGAGACTTTTAAGTAATTAATATTGCTGTTCACTTTTTGAGGTTAGTCGAGGTTGAGTCTTCTACAAAACGAAACGAAGGGGAAGTACCAGAGGTTGCCAGTGGCTCTACTCAAAGACCAGTGGAATGGAGGTAAATGGCAGCACCGGGCACGATGGCTCCAGCTGCAGCGATGTGGCAAAACAGTCCGCTGCGGCATAGAAATCGCCCAACGATTCCATAACCTTGCCCAAAGCAAACCTAAGGGAACACAAAACAATGAGTGGAATATAGAGGGAAAAAGCTTTTGTTTACGCACCAAATACGTGGACAATTGGGATCCAGTTTGGCTGCATCTTTGAGCATCTTTTCGGCCAGCCGTGGCTCGCCCAAGATCAAGTGGGTCTCGCCGAGGGCACGCAGTGCCTCCGTGTGATTGGGATTGGCGGCCACAGCATTGAGGTAACATTGCTTGGCATCACGCCACTGCTCCAGGTAGACATGCACCTGACCGCGCTGCAAAAGGGAGTACAGATGAGATAAAAAGTAGATCTGAAACGTGCGGAGGATTCTGCCCTTACCATATACATAATTTGATGCGAGAGCGGATAGATCTGCGAGGCCTCATGTATGCAGTTGAGCGCCTCATTGGGCTGTTCAATGCGCAGATAGACATCCGCCAGCAGCAGCCAAATCTGCAAGGAAAAGAGACACAGGAGGTTTAGTTAAGGAACCACAAAGGTACTGCAAAACGTACCTCAATCTGCAGCATCCATGGCCGGCGTGGTCCCGGGCGCTGCGTGAACGAACTCAACGAGCTGGCCGCCTCGCTCAAAGCCTGCTCCACGCGCGAAACTGCAGCCAGCGATGCCGCATACACGGAATCTTCAAGATTTAAACATTATATAAATGGCATATATAAAATAAAAGATATGGCAAAACCAACATAGAAATGAAACAGCTGTGAGAGTTTGTGAGGAAAAGCAAGACACAAAACAGGCAAAAAATGTCAAAGAACTAACTGAGTAGCAGGCAAAAGGTGTGTGTTGTGGCGATCAAAAAGATATTGAAAACGGAATAGCAAAAGTACGAGGAATATGTGTGGAGGGACCTGCCCGTTAATCATGATATCAGAGCAGGGCCTTCACAACATTGTCCTTTGTCGGAAACTTACAATTATTGGAGTGTTTTTTTTTTTTGGTTTTGGATTGTTTGGATTTTGTTTTGGGTATATACAAGATATAGAGACACATTCCGCAGAAGATCGGGGATAGGACATATATATGTGGGACACAGACGTTAGTAGAGTTTATCATGATAATTGTTTCAGATGCAAGTGGCAGACAAAGGCCGAAGGGTAGCCCCAAACTTACTTGAATCCTTGTCGGACATTTGGGATGAGTGCACCATGTGCACGCCACTCTTCGTGTCCGAATGCTTCTCCTCTTCGCCGGCTAGTTGCGCCTCGTACACCTCACGCCAGACGGCCAGCATGTGCTGCACGGTGGCCAGCGCCGTCTCCGCATCCTCCAGATGCAGCTGCAGGTGTGCCTTGACATGCAGCAGCTGCAGATTGTCCGGGAACTCGTGCAGCGCATCCTCCACCACGCCCAAAGCCTCACGCGGACGTCGCGATGCAGTCAGCAGCAGGGCAAACAGATGCAGACACGGGGCATGCTCCATGCGCAGCGCCAGCGCAAAGCGTATGTGGGCCAGTGCCTCGGGCAGCTGATTGAGCAGAGCATACTGCAGGGACAGATAGTACTCCGCCAAATGATCGTTGCCATCGTTCTGCACAGCCCGCTCGAGTGCCTCCAGCGCCAGCTTGTGGCAGGCATCGCGATCGCTGCGCAGATTCGATTGAATCGCCAGCTGCTGCTGTCCAATGCCCACAAACAGTTGGCTACGCGAGGGACGCAAACCTGCAGCAAACACGGGAATAAATCATAAATCCATGACAAGTTCCATTACTCACCCTTGTGCTCCCGCTTGAGCGCCTGTTGGGCGTAGTCCAGTCCCTGTTTGACCGTCTCCAGGCTCTCGTAGCACAGTCGAGAGGCTAGCAGGCAGGGCAGCGGATCGCTGGGCGTTAGCTTAATCGACTCTTGGAGCACACGCAGCGCATGCGCATGCTTCTCGGCGCCCATCAGACTGAGGCCGTACTGCCGCCAGACGTGCTGCTCGCCGAAGCTGAACTTGAGCGCCTTCTCGAAGGACTCGTTGAGCAGCTGGACGAGACCCCAGCGTACTGTGGCCAGGGTTAGCAGATCGTAGACGGCCGTCACATTGCCCATGGCGTGCTGGCGTGCCTGCTTGAATTCGGGACTCTGCGACAGCACAGTGTCGCGCACGGCCAGCGCTTCGGCGATGAGCAGCAGCAGGATCACTTCCTCCTGCTGGTTGCGCGGCGAAAACTGCTGACGGGCTTGGTACTTGCGCGGCTTCCACAGCTTCTTGGAGGCGCCACCGCGCAGCGTACTGCCGCCCGACTTGCTGGTAAACGGCGGAGCGTAAATGGTGCCCGAAACACCGCGCAGCAAAACCTCAGCCAGCTGGCGGGTTAGCGTTAGACGCAACGATTGCGTGGCCCTCGTCTCAATGGCATTGAGCATAATGCGATACCGCTCCACAGCCTCCTGCAGCTTGCCCGTCTTGATCAGCACGATGGGCGCACGTTGCAGCGCCGTCTCCAGAATGGCGCCCATGCGGCGATTAACCTCGTGGGTTGCCGCACCGCTGGCGGGAATGGTGCTGCTGATGGCAAAGCTGCTGTTCGACTGCTGCACACTGGCGTTCACATTGAGCGTGGAGCCGGCCGTGGAGTTGTTCGAGCTGCTGCTGCCACTCACAATGTCGTACTCCTGCAGATACAGCAGACCCAAGTCCGAGGCGCGCTCAAAGCAGCTTATCTGGAAATGGATGTGGAATTGCTTTAGCGAATCCTTTGGCTTATGTCTGGCAATGCACTCACCATTTCCGTGTCCTTTTCGGCCTTCTTGAACTTGGACGAGGGCTTGGCTGTCTGCTGCTCCAGGCACAGGCCTTTGATGGCATACGACTCGGCCAGAATCTTGAGGCTGCGTCTGTAGGCAATAAAAATGGAGTTAGTTTTGCTTTAATCATGGATCAATCTACCCACAATGTCAGCTCCTTCTCGGCCAGCGTGTTGAGCTCTGCCTTGACAAAGTTCTCCAGACTCGGCTCGTACTCGCCGCAAGCGAAGCTAAGTTTGGCCAGCAGCAGGTATGCATCCAAGGCAATGCCCGCCTTTTGGCCACTCTCTCCAAGTGCCAGATTCAAGTAGCGTCTCGCCTCGGACAGGCCCGTCTTGGCGCGGCCAAAGTTGGACTCGGCAACCAAGGCATTCTCCTCCAGGTAGCTCTCCAGACGTGCCTCACCCACCAAAAAGTTGGCCAGGCATTCTGTGGATTGGACATTGACTAATACATCCACACATATCCACGGGAGTTCACTCACCATTGTGGGGCGAGCCTGTTTTCAGCTCGTCCGTCAGATCGATGACGCGCTGCCATTTGCCCTCGCTGCGACAGCTCTCGATCAGGGCTTCGACTTTGGTCGTGTTGCTTCGCATATTGCGATTGGCCATCCCCTTGGACAATTGTCGCTGCTGGAGAGTTCTCTTCTGGGCTGCGGGCTCTCTGTTTCCGTGTGTGTTGTGTAGGAGTAACGCTTCCTTTTCACCCAATTACAGCATTTTCTCTTTGGTTTAATCCAATTACAGCAACAATATTGGAATTTTTCGTCCGTATTAGAGATGTTACATTGTCGATATATGAATGTATCGATAATGTTTCCATGCAAATATATTTTTTTGAAAAAAACATGAAATTGAGAGTTGATATCAAATTAAACAAAATTGTGATAATTAAACATGACAAATCAGAATAGAACTGCAGATGATAAATGGTAGGCAATAATCGCATCAAATAAGGAGTCGTACATGGCTGTTACACCGCCCTCTGCTGGTACTTTACATGAAGTCTGCGTGATTTTTTCTGCGCATAGGTATCGATACTATCGATGGCGCTTGATACCCTAGAGATAGAATATTTTCAAGATGATTGAATTTTAACGCACAGTAATCTCGGTGGACATTATTTCTGAATATTCTCCATCATGAGTAAAATTATCGGAAATTTCAAAGCAAAAACTCATATTTTATCAAGTTTCAAATTACATTATTTCTGGCAAAGCTGGAAAACATAATATTAGGCTTAAATATAGCAAACAGGGTAAAGATAACTCCATACGCAACATGGCACACCCGGCGGTTTTAGAAATTGAGACACGCCACGAACAATTTGGAGCTTGGAGCCCCAGTAGACATTTTTTATTGTTGGAGCCACACGCGTTGCGGATTATTCGCGGTGAAAATTGTCTGTGCGGCTTTTTACGATAAAAATGTGAACTCTGACTAAATTTTAAAATAAATTAACAGTGAAAAGTGTTAACGAGTTCCGTTAATTACAAGCAACTCTGATAAATTGTTTGATACAAAGAGAGCGTTTAGAGCCGCCACTAAGCGGTAAGTTATAGTCTCTGTTATACGTTTTTTTTTTGTTTTAGTTAATTAAGCTGAAAGCACCAATGCTCGTACATATGTATTTGTGTGGGGACTATGAGGGGGTGTGTTTGTGTGTGCGTTCCCGCTCAGCTGTTTTCTTGTTGTTGTTGTTGCGCACGCCGCTTCAGTACCACACACACACATTATCACACTCTTCGCATAAGTTCCGTTTTAGCGTTAGAGGGAGGGAGATAGAGCATATACAAAAGTGAGAGTGATTTGTGCTCTTCCTTTTTGTTGGTGATTTTAATTGCATTTCTCAGTTGACGTCCGCTCTCAATTGGATAGCAAAATGCAGGCCATCTCTCTTTTCAAGTTCAATTTGAACAATTTTACGCGTCACTTGCGTTGCTCTCTCTCTCTCTCTCTCTAGATGTTAAAAGTTAATTGCCAGGCTCTCTCGTTTTTGCATGCCTGCGAAATCGTTTTCCTATTAGACATTCATGGCATGTTCTAACAATAAAAAGCAGCGAATTATTACGTAAAAGCAAACATTTAAATGCACATTAAAATAAGCGCGAAAGAGTCGTCAAAAGTCGTCACTGACTGTTTATCTTTCTCTGCCCCTTCCCTTCTTTCTATTTCTTTGATACCTGAATATGTGACTGACTTACCTTCTCCTTAATGTACCTTGAAAGTACCGTCCGCGCCAAATTAAAAGCCATGGCAAATCAAAACAAAACGAAAGAGAGAGAAAAGGGGGGCCTTAAAGTGAGAAAGATGTGTTGGCTGATGGGAAGTAGGGTCCAGGGTGATAGAAAGACAGTGCTATAGAGATGCTTTATGTAAGGTGGGGTTGTGTTTGTAAGAAGGGAGAATGGTGCGTGGTTTGGCGTCTTGCATTGCGCGTCGCAGTTCTGTTCTGCCTGCTTATGACGCAATGACAATAATTACAAAGCAAAAAGTGCTACGTGAATAAAAGAAGGGGAACAAGATGAATAAGTAAGATGTATGAAAATCATCAGCAGAGGGCGGACGCCGTGGGTGGGTGGACATGGAAACAACGGCATTTAAAATTTCGCACAGTGGCTGAACATCAGTTGCTCAATTTAAAATATTAAATGGAAATGGTAAGGGATGCTTTTACCCATTGGCTATTTGTAATAAATTAACTTGTCATCCAAGAATATATTTCGGATTCCATATGAATGCCCACTGTGCGTGGTCGTACTTAAGCATGTGCTGCACTTGCGGGTGTGTGCTGCATCCTCAGCAGATGGCTTTTGGGGGGGAGGTAATAGCGAAAGATAGAGGGAGACCGTCGTCTCCATACAAGCACATTGCGTTTAAGCATAACGGTGCCGTGCCGCATGCTAAGCTCCTCTAACACCAAGTGCGAAGTCAGTGGGGCGACAGAAGTGGGAGCGAAACATCTGCTGGGATGTGGGGCAGTGGAAAGAGGATGCCGCCATCAAGCTCACGCATGGAACAACAAAAAACGTTGAAACTGTTGGCTTCGCTCTCTCTCTCTCTCTCGCGTTCTCTCTTCGAGTTTACTCTCACGCTCGTGCTGGTGTGCGGTTGTGTGTGTGAAACAATTTGGCAAATGAAACAACAATTTCAGAGGCCACGTTTAAAGCGACTTTCTTGTTGTTGCTGTTGGTGTTATTGCCGCTTTGCTTGTTAGCGTTATTCGTACATTTTTCCATTATGCGCACACTTTTGCCCCCTTCCCACCCGAAGTGCTGTCTTCATTTGAAGTTTTGTTTATTGTACCCTTCGGCAAATAAGGGTATCACGATTATGATTGAATGTTAAAAACAGAATGAAGGAAGCCGCAATTCCACGACTTTAAAACTGTTCACATTCTAGATTCGATTGGTTGTAGCCGTCTGAGTCTGTCTGTTTCTAGTACTAATTAATATCATGGGATGGCTGCCAAAGGGTATCAAATGCCTCGACGTCCCAAAGCGTCTCTTTCCTCCCCTCTCTTGTTTACTTTTGATGTTGTTGCTGCTGTTTTTACTACTGTTTTTGCTCCAATTGTTTTTGTTTGTTTAGTTTTATTTGCATGGCGACTGCTTTGTCTTTGTTTCTTGTTTATTTGCTTGTTGCTTTTTGGGCAAAAGGTGCTCCACGCTGCTGACCTCCTCACCTCCTGGCGTTAGCATATTTTCCCATTCCCCTACACTACACCCACTCCTAAGCGGCCTTAGAAGTTATCCTCATTAGGTCGCCCTGCTCTCTTCTTGCCATTGACAGGCTGCTCCGTGCTCTCCTCTCATACTTTTTCTGGCTTTGCCTTTGAGATTTTTTTGTGTTCCATTTGCCTTCAAGTCACGCGCTCTTTACCGCCGGCTTCCACCCATCCGAATGCTTTGGCAAGGCTTTGGCACGTAACTCTTTCATACAGTACAGTTTTTTTAGGTGCCTAAGTGTGCCTCTCTCTTTCTCTGCCCCTCTCTCTGTCCGTTTGCTTGTGCATCTCATTCTGCTTACCCCCTTCATGTGACACGATGTCAACGGCTTTGGTTTCGTCTCGCTCTTTAATGTCATTTAACATCAGACAAGCATTAGCAGAGAGCTTCTCTCAGCTGCCCCTCTCCATCCCCTTCGGCTGTTCCATCTCAATTTACTGACCTGCTTTTGGGTATCTTTGCAATAACGAGAAAAAATACAAAAAAAAGAGTGAGAGACCAAACTTTGTTTGATGCCAAACTAGAGATAATCGGTAAATCATGTGGAATAGCAGAATACCCTAAACGAAACTGTGGAGGAACAACTGCAAAGGGTATTTCCCCATATTTTAGGTTCAAAGATAATGAGAAAAGGAACCAACTTGGTGATGATTCTAAGCAGAACTCATACAAGAAAACTATTCTAAAGGGTATCCATTGAATCTGGAATCTGATAGGGTATTGCAATCTCGGATGCTGCCCCAATCCGATTTTATTTTGTTTCGTCATCTGCTATTGTCAGTTTTCTTGGCTAAAAACAAGTGCCAAACATAAACATGGCATATATTTTTGTTGTTTTTTCTATCGTATCACTCACACACACAGCCACGCACAGCGTACTCACACGCCCACAAAACATTTCTGTCAGCATCTTCACAAAAGCCACGCCCAGAGTCAGTACGACTTCACTTTTTGGTGCCCATTACCCATGAAGGGGGTTCAAGGGTATATTGTATTTATTCAGCCTTAGGAACACTGCCAATGCAAGGGTATCAGCAGATTTGGCCAACAAAATGCAGTCTGTTGTTCTTGTTTTTATTGCCACAACGCGGCTATCAATAAACTTCGATTTCTGTCTCCCTATATGGATGTGTGTGAGGTTGTTAGTATTTGTGCTAGTCATAAATCAAGTAAAACCAAACAAGAAAAAAAGGAAAGATGATAGAGAAATAGGGAGAAAAAACGAGAATTTATGTATGTCCACGATTACTTCTTCGCTTTATGCCAATATCTATGTATCTCCCTGACCCCCCTTCCTCCCTTTTAACTGGCATACATGAGAGTTACTCACTGGTACTCCTCACCCACTGCTTATCAACCGAAAATGCTGGCACAGCGCTATCAAAAACATTTTTTTTTCAGGTTCTACTAATATTTTTAACATGTGTATTTTAGCAGGTATGAGAATGTGCCATACACACACGCATTATGTGCGTGTGTCACCCTCTCCTCCTGTCCCATTTGTCCCCCTCTCCCACTGTACGTATTAAATTTCAAGATGAAAAGTTTTTTTTTCTTGTTTTTTTATTTCTAAATATTTCACGGGCTTCCGGATGCCAATAAAGAGAGGAAAAATGTTATGCCCTGAGTCCTGCTGTGTGCCACTGGTCCATACGACTGGGGTATCTTCTGCATCTGACAATTCCCATTTCATCCTCCCACTATCCCGTTTCATTTCCATGAGCTCAATATTCTCTTCTGTTCTACTGAGCGCCTCTCTATTTTGATGTGGGTTGTATTAACTACAGTTACAAAGCGGGCTCATGTTGGATGTACTCTAAATTATTTAACACAGAACACAGTTTAGTCGCTCTTCACCCCCCCCCCCCCCCCCCCCCCCCCCCCCCACAGGGCAAGAGAGTTTCCCTATATGTTAATTTGTCAAGTTTTACATTAAGTTTCCCGTTTTGTTGCTCATGACATCAACAACATTTCCGAGCATAAATTATGCTAAAAAATTAAAAACAGCGAAAAAGACTTCGAATGAGTCAAAAGCATAAAAAAGGAGAACAAGAAAACCAAAGCGAAAACAA